AAAAAAAGACAACCTAAACTTGCTGACTTTGAGAAGAAGGATACAATGGAATGGTTACTATGGAGAGAAGAAAGAGATTAGGAGACGAGACGAAGATTGGAAAGAGCCCGCAGGATTTCCGAAGGAGGTGGAAGAGGGAATGGACAAAGCTCGCAAGCTTTTCCAAACAACAAACCCGCAGGTTTTATCTCCAAAAATCACTAACATCATAATCTCTCTTTTAACTTCATATAACATCTACTATATATAGGCATAAGAGAGGAATGCCAAGAGCCACATGTCTTTAATTTCCTGCATAGAAATTTTCCCCCATGCTCACCAGGAACCAAAGAGACATTCAACAGGCTGAAAATTCAAAGCAGCCAAGCCACAGAGTTCGAAAAAACAGCCAGCACCTCACGGATCCAAGGAGCCAGCATCTCACGCCGTGAGTTCAAAGCAGCAAAGCAACGGGAAATTTCTTCCCAGTTCGGAATTCAGCTCCACATTAAACCAGAACAGGAATCCAAGGAGTTCATGTCTCGGTAAGCAAACAGCCCGCTAGAATCCAAAGCAACACAGGCTCGGGAAACCATCAAAGCACGGAAAAAACAATGGCTGGCCGAACTCCCAAGAGTTTAAAGCACATTTATTATAAAGTTATTGCTTTGAATTCAGCCACCATTTAAAAGTAAGCCACGGTTCTCCAAGAGAAAAGAAGAAAAGGGGAAGGGGAAGGGACAAGGAAATGAGAAGAAAAAAAAGGAAAGAAGAAAAATCATTTAAAGAAATAATGAGCTAATTTTTAGTTCAATAAATGAACTAAAAATCAGCTCATAATGAGCTAATTTTTTTACTAGACATTAATGAGCTAGGGAAGTCAAAAATCAAATATTAGGATTTGATTTGACCCCCCCCCCCTTGCCTACATCACATTTGGATTACACCACCAATTTTTTTTACTATTAGGAGCTTTTCCATTTGATACTCCAAGCACATATTTTGCAATATATTCAATATCACTAGCCACTTTTTCCCACATAACATTAGCATCCTCATGCCCATATATAATCTTAAGATCTAAAATATTACTCTCAAAAATATTTTTGTTAATATTCTTTAAATGCCCCCATCTAATCCTAGAATATCGCTTTAATTTATTTTTTTATTTTTTGCTACTTCATCTTAAAGTCCAAAATTAATAATCAATATTGGGTACATAAACTTTCACTCGAAATAACTTTACAATCTTTGCAATCTAAACGATCTAATTTTTTTATAAGAAAATAATCAATCTGAGATTTTTTATATCCATTCTTATAAGTGATGAGATGCTCATCTCTTTCTTAAATAAGGTATTAGCAATTAAAAAACATAAGCTAAAGAAAAATCTAATATGGTCTTACCACCATCATTACTCGTCCCAAACCTATGGCCACCATGAATGCTTTTAAAATCATCTACCATATTACCAACATGTCAATTTAAATATCCTCCAATAAAAATATTTTTTCAAGAGATATCTTTTGTATTAATTCTTTTAACTCATTCCAAAATTTTAATTTTTAACACAAATATAAATCAAATTGAGGAGCATAAACACTTATAATATTAATAATCTTAGCATCAACAACTATCTTTAAAACAATAATTCTATCTCCAATTCTATTAATTTTTAAAACATTATCCTTCAAACTCTTATATATAATCACACATACACCATTTCAATGTTAGTAACCCTAACATTGAAAAGACAAAATAATAACTAATAATTTATATGCATGCATGAAAAGATTTGCTAAGGATGTTGATGAAGAAGATAAAATTAGCAATGAATAGAGTGTGTACATCAAGGGGTGAAGGACCTTCCTCATGCTATCAGAGAAAAGGAAAACCCAAGGACCATGGTTTTAGTAAAGTTATAATTAATATTGAATTATATTTTCATATTAAATGATAAAGAAAAATGTTAAATAATTTTAGTTGATTGGTGGTTAAAATATAGCTTAGGAGCTCCACATTTGCCACGTTTCTCTATCGAAGTGCTTAGACTTGCCTATTGTTTATCTGGATGGAAACATAATTGATGTTTATTTAAACAAGTACAAAAAAAATTTATATATGAATTATTATCATAAAACTTAATAATTTAGTAATTTAAAAAAAAAATTGTTGCAACATCATAATTAAAGAAGCAATATGAATCATGGTCCCATGAAAGATTTGATTTATATAAAGTATAATAGGATCTTGATTCAAATATATAATCATTGTGACATAATTCATCATATCTTTTAAAATGATATAGATGATGCTTATTAAAATGGATAATGAGTCAAATTAAAATAATGAAATAACTATTGGTGAGACACTGTGGCAAATACTAGTGATGTTTATGAAAGAAATTATAAATATCAATAGTGATCTAAAGGCAAAAAAAATGAATCATCTAAGCTTAAAGCTCTAGAAATTGAGCATGAAGATGATGAGCTTGATGAAAAAGAGTATGATTTAAGAGATAATAATGATACTAATGAACGAGATATGACTATTTCAGATTATGAAAATGATGCTCATTTTCAAAATAATTAGATTAATTTTTTTTTAAATCATTAGACTTGCAAAAAAACGTAATACTTAAAATTTCAAGTGGTTGAGCACGTGACCTCAAGCATCAATTTAACTTTTGTGTGCTAAATCATGAAATTTTTTTTTTGTTTTAGCGTGCTAAATCATGCTCTGACTCCAAACTCCAAAGAAATCTTTGTGTTATAATGCAATATTTTACATAAACAAGTATAATTGTAGAACTTTCTAAAGACACCTAGTGTATTCTTAATTTTTTTGCTTAAATTTTCTTAAAATTCTTAGAAACTTTTCAAAAATTCCCATAAAATACATTTGCCTCCACTTCTCGCAAAAACTATATATACTCCTTGGTTTAAAGAAAATATGTATGTGCTTTATTCCTAGTTGTTCGACTATGTGCAAAACCATCGTTTGAACTCCCTCTACTGTAACGATAATCTAACACATAAGTTTTGTCCAACAGATAAGCTAACAGGGATAGCGTAATAAAAATGAAAAGCTATCCCAAAAATAATACCTGAAGATGGTGCTTGAGAATCGGTTAGTGGTGATGGAAGCTCATTCCTGCAAACAACGCCAATTTGATACCCACAAAGGTCACGGTTCCCAAGATAGCTTCAAATACAAACAAAATGAGTAAAACATTAGGCAAATTATTCCAGTTACTGATTATTTTGGTTCTTTAGCAAAATAAAAACAACCATAAGAATTTCAAGACATTTTGGTACAAAATACACGATAATCTGCGGAAATGCTGTTAAAACAAATAGGTATGTTCATCACAAATCGGAGCTAAGGCCAAGAAATCATTTATAAGACCTCAAATAGTAAGCAAAAAAATATTATTCTGTAAGATCTGCTTAACGTTAATCACTGTAGCTCAAACTCACGAAAATAGAGGACAGATATAACTAAAATTCATACACGTTATAGGAAATGAGAGGTAAGAGAAAATTTCTAGAAAACAAATTAACTTAAAATCAATTATTAATGCATTAGCAAAAAAAAGACATTATAAAGAAAACAAATAATGCGTTTCTAGCCCTTATCATTTCCTATAAAGTGAAGCTTTATCAACAAAACATTGGACAGCATGACAGTTTGAGGTAGTGTAAGATGTTTCTCATTAGCAAACAATATTGAGTTTAATTTCTATAAGTAGCATGTGTAGTCGGTTATTTTATTTCAATTAGGACTAATTTGATAATTTTAAATTTGTTTACGGTTAGTTTTAAATTTTTAAATAAGGCTTATTTCGATAAATAGGGCCTAAAATTTGTAAGTCGAACAATTGAAGTTCATAATAAACAGCAATAACAACTGCTCTGGCACCCTTCCTCCTGGTTGATTTTAAATAAGTTTTGGTCTAAAATTTTTATATAAGGCTTATTTCTATAAATAGGGCCTAAAACTGTTCACCACGACCTCACCAATTTGTTGTCTCACTCTGGTGTTATTTGGAATTAGAGCCGAAATTCCTAACTCAAAGATCTCCATGAAAAAAATCTCAAATTCAAGCCAGTTTAACAACAATCCCTATAGGTTATAACCCCTCCTACTCAATGGAAACCTAATCACTAGTCAATCACATATTTTCTAGAATTATAGCAAGCTCGATGGCTTTGTCCACATCTCCTAAACCCAACCAATAACAACAAATAACAACAAGACCTCTCACTTTCAACCACCAATCAGTGTAGCAGTGTGGTTTCTATCTTCATCCACCTTGACTCTCAGCTCATCGCCACATAGCATATTCTCCTCATATGTGGGCATCAGTGTTAGCATCTAAGCGTTAACTACTCGTAGAGAAACACGATTATAATATCCCTAACAATGGTACCATCTTCAAAGCCATGACCTCAAGGCCTCCTCTATGCCCTAGCATCTTCATATTGGCAATCTTCATCATAGTGAACTCAACTTTCTCCACAAGTTCAACATCAAATTTGTTTAATTCTCTTATCATAAATCAATCTACCACCCCCATAGCAATGTTGAATCGCAACCTCCCACCACAAATTCCTCACTTGTTCCCAAGAAATCCCCACACACAACATATCACTAATCTATGCATTTATCTAAACCACTTGTGAATCGTGCATACATCCACTTCTAGATAGCAATCTTGCCATAATGCTCATGCTCGCATTATTGCTTTCTTGAACTACATGGGATGTCCTCTCTCAGATATCTTGACCAAAATTGGGAAAAGAGAATATACTACGTTCATCCAATTTTGGTGAGGTTCAAAGATTTAAAACAGAATCAAAAAATCATTAAGGATACCAATATGACTAATTGTGATTTATAATTGTTACTAAGTGACAAATATAAACTTAGTGATGTGATGGTCATTTAATGCTGAAATTGGCTCAAAAGTGCAAAGCATGGTTGACTGCAGCGAGAGGTATTAAAACATGGTTGTTTTTTCTTAGGGATATGGCAAAGATGGTTCATAGATCTACAGGTGAATTTCAAATCTACCTTAAGGGGGGAGTACCCTAGAACATACGAAAAATATGAATCAAGGGTTATGAGATGCCCTTTGATTCCCATAATCCATATCTAATGTTAAACTCAAAGGCAGTTCTTGATGGTTGAACCCTTGCTACTAAGGATATCATATATATTGTAGATGGTATATTATCATATCCACAAGTTGCTTCAAAAAAGGAAGCTTGAGTAACTTTAAATTCTAGGTTGGGGTCGACTAACTCAAAGACTAAGGTTAGAAAGCTTTTCTTCTTTGGTAAGGAAATAAAGAAAAATAAAAGACGCTATCCTCAGACAACCGTCAGAGCGGGTTCCTCACATGCATCAAATTGTAGGGTAAACAAGATAAGTGCATAAGACTAGCAAACCGATGGTCCACCACTGCAAGATTGTCCAATTTCTCCAACAAATGCTTCCAAATCAACCAAGACACGACACCCTAAAGTTGCTTCACTTTGAGAAGAAGGATACAGATGGAGTGGCACTTGCGGAGAGACGAAAGAGGTTAGAAGCCGAGACGAAAGGTTGGAAAGAGCTCGCAAGCTTTTCCAATAACCCGCAGGTCAATAGCAATTTTGCTCACAATAATCAACTCCCTCCCTTCACAACATCTTCTCATATTTATAGGCAAGGTAGGGGAATGCCAAAAGTCACACATATAAATTTTCCACAAGAACCTAAGCACCATATTTCATAGGATTTCCCAAAAAATTTTTCGGAAAACACCCCAGCATAAGAACCCGAAGGAGCAGCTACAGGAATCAAGGAGGCTTCACGGAACCAAGGAGCCAACATCACGGGAAACCACCCAGGCTCGGAAAACCAGAAGCCAGTCGGATTTCAAAAAGGCAAAGCACGGAAAACAGTAACTCACCTAATGAATTTTAATGCATAGAATTCAGCCAACATTAAAACAAGCCACGATTTTCCAAGAGATAAGAAGAAAGGGGAAGGAGAAGGGACAAGTCCACCCCATCAATGAATACTTCATAATGAGCTACCTTTTGGACAATAATGAGCTACTAAACTTCAGCTTAAGCAACTAAGAGAATGAGCTCCATCCAAACCTCCTCCAATCAACCCGTGAACCAGCAGTAGTAAATGGACCAATCAAGCCAGCAAACCAAAGGTCTATCAAGTCTCATGCACAACCTACTATGATCATTGGATGCTTTCCCATCATTGGATAGCTAAAAAAAGAAAAGAACATAAAATATTCTATTGTTCAAATAAAATTACAGAAACATTTGATAGCATCAATTCTCCCCTAGTTGAAAATTCTCATCTCCTGATGAGAACGTATCAGCAACTTGTTCATAAAGCCCTGAATTTCTTTTTTTTAGATCACCAGCATCAATCCAAGTACAATCAGTCAATGGTCGATTGCTCCATTTGACCATGAACTTCTTGTGTTCCCCATGTCTCGTTTTAGTGATTTTCATATCTATCACATCTTCAATTTGATCTTCTGACTTTACCAAAGGAGCATAGAATTGTAAAGTTTCAATATCTACAAAATCCTCAGAATCTCCTTCATACTGTTGACCCCAATACTAGTGTCGGGATCACGTCGACCACGCAAGGTGAATATCGAAAGCAAAAGAGCGAAATCGTGCAAAAACTCACCCGACGCGTGTCGACCGAAAACCCAAAATCATCGAGACGACCTCCGTTTGTGAAACGGACAGCGCCGATGCATCTGGGGCAATGGAAATAGCTAAAATTGCTACAAAATCCTCAGAATCTCATTGAGACGGTTTTCCATAGCAAGACATCTTAATAGATTTTCCAAGCTTCTATTGACTACTTCAGTTTTCCCATCAGTTTGAAGATGATAGGCGCTACTATATTGAAGAGTAGTTCCTAATTTTGCCCACAGAGTTCTCCAAAAATGACTTAAAAATCTAGTGTCACAATCTGAAGTAAAAGTACGAGGAATACCATGCAGACGAACAATTTCTTTAAAAATAAATCAGCGATATAAGAAGCATCATAAGTTTTCTTACAGGGAATAAAATGTATTATTTTACTAAATCGATCCACAACCACAAAAATAGAGTCAAATTTTCGAAGAGTAACCGGCAAGCCTAAAACGAAATCCATAGAAATATCCTCCCAAGGTTTGTTTGGAATAGGCAGAGGAGTATACAAACTAGAATTTTGTGTAGTTCCTTTAAAAGCTTGACATACCTTACATTGTTTAACCAGTTTAGCAATGTCCTTTCTCATGTGAGGCCAGAAATATTTTTCTTCAACTAAAGCAATTGTTTTTCCTTGACCAAAATGTCCTCCCAAACCTCCACTATGCAATTCTTTCACAAGTTGTTCTCTTAAAGAACCTTTTGATATGCGAAGTTTAGTTCCTTTGAATAAAAAACCTTAATGTATCACAAACTGAGCAGAAGGATCAGTTTCAGAAGCAAAACAAGCATCCCAAATATTTTTAAAATCAGAAACATTTGCATGAGTATCTTTCAAAAATTCAAAAGAAGTAACAGTCGGAAAAACAGTTATTAACAAGTGAGACCTTCGACTTAAAGCATCAGCAATCTTATTTAAAGCCCCAGTCTTATGTTTTATGAGAAAAGAGTATTCTTGTAAAAACGAAACCCACTTGGCGTGTCTTTTGTTCAAATTTTTTTGTGACCCCAGAAATCGTAAAGCCTCATAATCAGTGTTTAAAATAAATTCTCGATGAATCAAATAACATCTCCAGAACTTCAAAGCTTGAACAATAGCATAAAATTTCAAGTTATAAATAGAATATCGAGATCGAACATCATTTAATTTTTACTAAAATATGTAATAGGCTTTCCTTCCTGACTCAAAACAGCACAAATACCAATATGTGAATCATCACAATCAACTTCAAAAACCTTTTCGAAATTTGGTAGGCTAAGAATTGGAGCTTGACTCATTTTTAGTTTGATCAGTTAAAAAATATTTTCAGCGTCAGGGGTCTAATTAAAAGTTCCTTTCTTTAAGCAATCAGTGATAGGAGCAATGACAGTACTGAAGTTTTTAACAAATCGATGATAAAAAGATGCTAACCCATGAAAACCTCTTACCTCACTAATGTTTTTAGGAACAGACCAGTTTCTTATTGCTTCGATTTTCAC